ATCCAGTGACATCTTTTGTGAATGTCCATTGCCAATAGTGAGAGCATTGCCTGGTGCACGTGAAACCATGAAAGGGGAAGCCCAAATGCAGAAGCATGTTAAATGCCTGTATGTTAGTGCCAGTTAAATACTTCAGTTGGACAATCTTAGAATAGTTTATAGCCCTGTAGATTTTACAAAAGTGAACTACAGGGACTGCAGCTGTCAGGAGCAGCTGAGCTGGTGCAGTGCCTGGCTCAGCTGTAAGGATAAACAAGGGCACACTACATTCAGCAATGTTCCAGGGAACTGTTGCTACACCAGGAAAGCCACTGTAAAAATACAGAATTATAGTCGCTCTGTTGAAATAAATATTTAAGAATTTGCTGAAAGAGTTAATAGCCACTAAAGGCAGAGAGTTGATTTAACTGATGACAACAATCAAGTGCTTTTCATCTTGGTGGCCCATTAACAATGGCCGTTTATTTAGCCTTTGTGCTTGAGTGTGGCCTAGTGCGACCTGAATTGAAGAGTCTTTCATTTGTGTTGCAAAGCAGTCAAGGCCGTATGATGGGGCTAAGGGTGGCATTACAACAAGGAGGTTTTGCAAGTAATTGGAACAATGTGTGTTAGGGGCGTGGGGAAGAGCAAAGAAGTTACTGGTGGAGCACTTAAACCTAGCTGCATTTCTGTAGGTCTAATATGCAGTTTGAGGATGTAAAATAGATCCTTGGCTTGTTAGCATTTGTATGTGGATTAGGACAAAGTACCTGGTTTCTCCGCATCCACAAGTGCTGCATTGCCGCTGCTTCTGTTTGTTTTAGTCCTCTTACGTGAATTGCACTAGACAGATTCCTAGCAAGTGATTGTGGTGCCCTGTGCTGCCTACAGATCAAACGCACAAGGCAGGCAAAAACCGGAGTGAGTGTTTGACACAGTTTGCTAATGGGAAGTAAGGCACAGGGTAGTTCAGCGACTTGCTCACCCTCTCACCCATATGCTGTGGTACATCTGGTTTTGAAGATATCCCAAGACTCAGTCAGTATCTTAACCAGGGAAAAAAAAAACAAAAAACAAAAAACAAAACAAAGCAAACAAAAAAAAACAAACAAACAAACAAAACACCACACCACCAAACTTGTTCAAATAAATATTCCTGACTGTGTCAAAATAATAACGATTTCAGCATGAACATGTCTGTCTCTTTCAGCTTACCCAGTGCAAAGACCCCAGATGCTGCAGAGTACAGCAGTCCACTAGGTTCCTGAAGTGAGATAGTTTAAATAGATTTCCCTCCTACTCTGCATTGCATTTGACTTTTTCTGCCTTAGGGTAGAACTCCTAAAGTCTAAGTTAATCTGTAAAGCATAAATGAGCTTTCTCTTCCAACACTCTTAGAGTCAGTGCATAACTACTGATTGGGCTCAACTGAGTTGCCCTAAAATTTCTCTGACATGGCAGCACATAAAGTGTTTCTCAGGCTTTTGCAGCAACAACCCAACTGCATTTTCATCATATTTTAATCACTCCTGACCAATTAGAGAATATTTATGATGAAGAAGTAATGTAAAAAAAAATGTAGAATTTAATATTGTTCCATCAATAGTCAGTGAACTCTGGCCATGGGCAAAATTGTGGATTTCTGGTTTCCCTAACATTCACAAAGCCACAGTATCCACATTTGTCCTGGTGCAGTTTGTAGGAAGTCAGCTTTTTACTCTGTTTAGTATCTACACGCTTTCAGGACACAGTTCAGTGTATACCTTCCTTCTTAATCCTATACTTTGTGTGCTGCATAAATGCGGGAAGCATTTTTAACTTTGTATCTACTTATGAAGGCAAGAGTTAGTACCACCAGATGGCACAAATAGTTTCAGTTTATAAGTGTTTATTTGCCCTTGCAATGAACATAGAAAAAGCAATTAAAAGCCAACATTTTCATTAGTGTGAAATGTTAAGAAATTAATTTGGTTTAAAGTTTCTTCTGCAATGCCATCCTGTCTGTATTGCACAACTTGCATTCATATTACTAAGTTGGCTGAATAATCAACATATTAAAAAGACAGAAGCAGAGATTGCCTTGAGTGATGCTAAATTTGATTTTTTTGGCCCAAGAATTCCTCACTGATTCCTTCTTAATACAGTAAACACCTTAAATATAATTTTAAAAAATGAAAAATACCGTAACCAAGGGTCATGAAAATGATTCCAATAAAATAATTACATTTTCTAACCTCATTTTAATAAAAACTGAGTATTATTTGCAAATTCTCATTAATCATCAGTGGGATCACTACACTGTAAAAGTTTTCAGCATTAAATTGCAGGCTTAATTTTAAATTCAATGATAAATATTGATATATATCAATATTGATATATATGATAAATATACATTTTGAACTTCTGTGACATCAGCTTTGCAGATATTCCAATGGAAATAGATCTTTAATTAGAAAATATTCTGTTTGAAAATGGAACCAAATTGGTGTCATCATTATGTTAACAGTGAAACAGGTTTGGTGATGAGATTAAGCTTAAGAGCAAAAGACCGCGTTTGAGAAAGTTCTAAGTCTCCTCAAGGAGAGATTGGGAAGGAACTTGGAGATCAGCTTTAGCTGTTGCAGTTGAAATCAAATACTCTCTTAGCCAGATTTCTTCTTTCATCACTTTCAGGAGCCGTTGTGGCAGAGTATATTGCTGCTCCTCTTGCTGGCAGCCATCAGCCATTCTCAGTAACTTGACACAACTAAGCTGGAGACTGTTGCAGTTGTAAAGGCTGGAACGACATAGGCTGCATTTTTCCTCATTTCCTAAAGATTTTTTTTTTCTTCTGGATGCTTCTCTCCTCATTCAGGATTGCACAACATACTTGTGACAACCACAGTTGCTGTTTACATGAAGACGGATTCTAGAAAAACACTCTTCTATTTCCAGATGGCTTCAGTATAATATGTTTTCTTCCAGATCTCATTCTTTCCTTCTCCTCAGGAAAATCCCCAGAAAACGCATTCATCATTTACCCGTCTTTATTTCTTCTTCTTGCTTATTCTGTTTTTCTCAGAAGAAAACTAAGTGTACTGGCACCCAAAACCTGTCAGTTTATGAGAGGCCAGCACCACATTCTTTGTAGTTCAACCAAGAACTTCAGACCACAATTTGGCAGTTCTCAAAGCAGTCTATAACAGTATCCTCACGTATCTGGGCTGTAGCAACACATTTCCCCATGAAGCTCTGAAACTTCATTTCTGCTATCCTCTGACCATACACTACCTTGGAGCCATATCACCATATTACCTTGCATGCTTCAGAGATAATTGCAGCCTGTATGCTTTTTTCACTGCATAAATGCCAGTAAACAGAGGACAGCTGACTTTGACCAAGGCCATTTCAGCTTCTCCAGATACACATTCTTAACCCCCTCAAATACCTGGTATTTCTGTTCTGCACAACTTTTCTCTAAGTTTAATCTTTGTCCCTCCCACAGAAAATTACCATTGTGGGCACAAAAATGTTACCAATCTGCATGCTTTCTGTGTTCATCCTTCTTTTCAAAGTCATTCAAAGTTTTCAAAAAACCCCAAAACACTTATTTTAAAAAACTTATTATCATAAAACTTCTTTTCAAAGTAATTCAAAGTTATCAAAAACCATAACAAAGCAAAGAACCAAACCAAACTGGCCAAACCTAACCAAAATCCAAAAGCTCCCATGTATTTCCTAAAGAAAAAGCCTTTTCCTAAAAATGCAACTAGTTTCTTAATCTGTGTGGATCATAAAGTGCTTACGACTTCCTTCCATGGAAAAAACTTTTAAAGCGGTCTTAATGGCTGGCCAGGAGAGCTGCGATGTCTTTTGCATAATTGTCCTCTGCTCAGGTGGAATTTGGAAGAATATCTACAGTTACCTCTCATTGCTCAGTCTGCACTAGGGATTCATGGCTGCACAAAAGCTGCCTTTGCTATCGCTCTGGCATGCCTGTACATCCTTGAGGTTTTTAACCTTTTTTTTTTTTTTCACTATTACCACATTTAGTTTGGCTGATGCTAATAGACTCGGGAGTTTTTGTGGACCTTACATACATGTTTTATTAATCAAACAATGCTGCAAGACAAAAATGATGGTGATTAGTGTGACAAAGAAACGGCATCTGCCTAATGCTCTGAGGATCAGTTTATCATTGGTTGAAAAGAGATGGATTTGTTAGAAGTAAACCACTGGACTAAGTGGGGTTTTTACAAACAACAGTGGACTATAGTGTGCTGCCAGTCCCTACTTCTGTTTGGAAATTAGCTTTCAGACAGAAAAATATTCAAGTGAAAAAATATAACTATTATTGACTAGAACAGGGATGTTTCCCGTGTCAGAATGAAGAGTACTCAGCACCGCTGGCTAAAGTACAAATTTAGGAATGTGCAGTGGGCCAAACAGAGAATTTGGTCTGGTTTTGTGGTTGCTGCTCTGTAAACTGATTTTAGCACTGCAGTCCCTTTTGCTCCCGGCAGATAAATGGACCCTGTACCGCCAGGCAGAACTGAAGCCAAATTTGGTTTCCCAAAATCGTACTCCCTTCCAGATTGCGTCCTGCACCACTGCTCGGCAGCGAGATGCACAAAGAGCGAGGGCGATAACAAAGCACAACCGGGCTAATTAGGTCAGAGCTGAGCCGGGCGCGATGCGGCCACTGCAACCCTCCTCCTCCTCCTTCTCCAGACCGTGGAAAGCCCCCGCTTCGCTCCTGCCGGGCACCGCAGCTCTCGCCGCTGCTGGAGCGGCCCTTGAGCCAAGCAGCAACCGGCACCCTGGGTACCTGACCCGCTGCCGGATCGGGGCTGGGGCTCGCCCCGGGCTCCTAGAGGGGCTAAGCGCCTCCCCTCGGCCCCTCTCCCCCCGCCCCTCCGCCAGCCCTGCCCCGCCGCCTGGCACCGCCACCGCCGCCGCGCCGGCCCCGAGCGCTCCCCGCGCCGCTGCCGCTGCTGCTCCTGCTCGGCCCGGCCGGGCGGGGACTTGGCAGGAACTCCCGGGGAGAGAGCGAGAGTGCCTGCCCCCGCCACCGCTCCGCTGTGGCTTTTGGGTGGAGGAGGAGGAAGGTCTGGGCTCGGCCGAGGAGCAGGAGCCGCCGCCGCCGCCGCCGGAGAGGAAGAAGCAGGAGTGAGGGAGAGAGACGGAGAGGCGGCTGGAGCCCCCCAAAGTACCCCCCCATCCCTGCACTGCAGGCTACATTTCCAGCTTCATGGGCAAAGTGTGGAAACAGCAGATGTACCCCCAGTACACCACCTACTACTACCCCCAGTATCTGCAGGCGAAGGTAGGGTCCGGCACGCCGGGCGGCGCGGCGGGTCTGGGGCTGGCCCCCCTCCGGGCGGCCGGCCAGGGCCGAGCCCGGGCGGGGGCTCCGCGGCTGGGGCACGGCCCGGGGGAAGCGGTCAGGTTGCACCAGGGGGATGGAGACAGGAAAGAGCCGGCAGCCCCTTCCTGCCGCCCGCCGCGGCCCCGGGAGAGCCTCCGGGAGCCCCCGCCGGGCTCCCACCCCTTCCCCTTGCTCCCGACCGTGCCGTCTCCGACCTGACTCCTTCCCTCTCGCCTTCCCCCTCCAGCCGGCAGTCCCTCCTCTTCCCCGGGGCTCTCGGCGTGTCTCCTCCTTCCCAACCACGTCCTTGGCCACCTCGGCACAGAGCGGAGCGCTGCGGGCCCCGCTCCCGCTGCCTTCGCCCAGTGCAGCCCCTGGAACGCAGGGAGAGGACCCGAAGTTCAGGCGGCAGGGCCCGGCTGGGGCTGCCATGGCCGTCCTTCAGCCACCCTGCGGCGGGGGTGCCGTGACATCCCCAGGGGTGGCAGGGCGTGCTTGCTGCTGAGATGGGGATGGCTGTAATTCCAGATAAATACGGGCACTGGGGAAGCTGCTGAACTCGGGTGGATACTCATTGTCTGTGGAGTTGGACCTTTGTAAGCTGCCACCTCGCAGTTTTCAAACTGGATTAAAAAACGCATTAAGAGTCCAGCTCCTGATGGTTAATGTTGTACACGGGTAGTTGCTGTTTGCAGGAATATTGATGTTAGCAGTTCTTGTGGTGGTGGATCTCCACCTTTTTTTCCCTTTCTCCTTCAAGTCCGTAAGGGCAGCCAGCCCCACTGCTCTAGAAGCATCATGCTGCAAACTGGCAGATGCAGAGGTGGTTGCATCAGCTGTCTGGAACATTTAGCATAAGCCTTTCCAACCACCAGTGTCACTCCTCACAAATCAAAACAGACCCATATGAGGCTTCAATGTGTGAACTTTTTTTAGAGGTTATAACCGTGGTGTGGGGTTTGGTTGTGATTTTTTTTTTTCCTATTGAAGCGTCTTGCCTTTTTGGCAATGACAGGACAAGAATTCCCTTCCCTTTATCTGCACACTTGATAGGCTCTTCTTTTTATTGTGTTTGTGTTACTGTATTGTGAAATGTATTTTATACTGCTTGTCTGAAAAATAAATTCAGTTTGACAGTCATGAGACGTTTTAGAAGGCAGCAGTGAGGAGGCTTTGAAATGTGCTTTCACATACACAGAAATTGATAGAAATGTAATGAAGGTCTTTAGGTGATTTGAAATTACTAATCTCTTAAATGTCTAATCAACATCAAGCTAAATAGAACAGACTATAGCCATTTAAAGATTGTGCTACAGAGTAATCACTTCAGTACTGTTTACATATATCTTGAATGCATTATTTTGAAGAAAGGTAGAATGCCTAAAGGACAGCCTTTTGCATCACTTGGCTGTATGACTACATAAATATTCTCAAATGAAACAAATGTTTTTATTCAGCGACTTTTACCTTCACGGTTTTGTGTGGCAATAGTAAGTTACAAACCAAGTACCTAACGTGGAATATATACAAAACAATGTTGTTTGGCTGTTGTGACCCATAAATAATTGAAGAGCGAGTTAAACTGTAGTAGCTTACAGTAGTTAGTAGAGAATGATCCTAGAAATCCATGATCCTGTGAGAAAGCATGGTGGACCATCTTTTGAAAATGTTTCCTGTACAGATAATTTAATATTGATTTGTAATACAGTCAATGATATCTTCAAAGCCTCTTGTAGTCTTTGCTATAAAATGATAAAGCCTGAAATTACATTGCTCTGTTTCAGCAGAGAGAACACACAGCCATTTGATGTACACACATGAAATGAAATATGTGGGATCCAGTGAAAGTTTCCTGTTTTCATAGATCTTGATTTTATAAAAGAAATAAACGAAGAAAGGTGTCTTCTTGGTGTAGATAAAAGGACCTGTAAGTTTTGATATTCAAGTATGCAGAATCCAGTAATACAAGGATTCTTCTCACTTTGGATCCTCTCTGAACATGTAGAAATATTAATATAATTCATAGTTTTCAGGTATTCCATTCTTTGGGCCCTAAAACAGCCTCTTGTTCACTACATGAACTGTTTCAGTAATTCTGGAGAAATCTTTGTTTTTTATTAAAGATGAATGATAATAGAATTGAATAGCCTTTACCTAATGAATGATAGGTAATGTTACATGATTACCGTGGGGGAGGTAGGAGGTTCTGAAACTAGAAGTTTTGCTTCTTATTTAAAAAACTATGGAAAATCTGCTGACTAATAAACTGCAAATCAGTAATTAGGAGGTGACAGGAATTGCTTGAAGATGGAGTTTTTTCTGTGGAGAGCTCAAAAATACTCATTAGAAATTGCATACATTCCTAATGGATCTTTAGGTTAAAATGTTAATGTGGTCAGCTATTTTAATTGCTACAAATATGTTATAGATTATAAAAACAGATTTTGTGTTTGACTGTTATGATCTTTACAGTCATATTCATGAAGTATTCAAGCTGGTTCAGTGATATATTCTGGGAGGAAATATAAACATTTGCTGTGATTCAGCACCTCCCTCCCCCTAGTCTTAAGATGCTCAGCATCAAAAGGGATTAGTGAAACCATGGACTTAAATTAAATGAACAAAATTACCACTGGAAGAAGGCTTTTAATACGAAAATCATTCTGAAAATAAAAATAGTTTGAAATGGCTTTAAGTTGAAGCTTGTAAAACCTTTATTTTTGGGACTTTATTTTTGGTACTGCCACAATTTTTATTCTGGCAAATTATATGTTTGACATATCTGTAAAATTTTTGTGTGTCCTCTAATGAATGTATGTTTTATTACAGTTCCTATATTGTAGCATTTTATGGCTTGTCAGAGAGCACCAAAAATATTTTCCAATTTCAATGGATGATTCTAATGCTTTAGGTACTTTTTAAATAATGTTTCTGTAACATTTGCTTTTCGAATTTCAACTTAGTTGTATTTCATTTCTGTACTTAATGTTTTACTTGTATTTGAGAGATTCTATATTTCAACATTTTGGAAAATGATGTTCATTAAGACTGTATGTGTTTTACTAATGCTTAAAGGCCTGTCTGCCCAGGAGTAAACCCTGACTGTGCCAGGCAGAGTATTTTAAAGTTTAACAAGACAAAGTATGCATAAACAAATACAAATGTATATAGACATCTCTAGGCCACAATTTGTTTGCTTTGGTCAAATAAGAAATAAGAGTGACTCCATGCTTTGTTTCCCTTTACCAAAATATCAAATGGAATTCAGGGTCACGATGCACACAACAGTTTACAAATAAATGGTGATAACTGGCCATTTTACTGTTTTTTTCCCTTGGAGAATAATGTGACAATATGACTAATTTCACTAACAGGCTTCTGTATCATAAAGAAAAGTTCTTTGTATAAAAGAGAGTTAGTAGAAGATGGCAACGCTTCCTATAGATAGCATGGTTTATCTTATATGCAAGCTTTTAATAGTCATAGATAATACTTATATGATACCTGAATTGTATTTATTTTCTATGGTATTAGGTAGCAGCAACACAGAAGAAATGAAATCCTGGAATCTTGCTAAATTACCTTAGAGTGGGCTTTGAGCTTTATAATTTAGTAGCTACAAAACTGGTGCCCTGGCAGCTCTGAGAAGAGCTAATATTTCTAGAAGTTTGTGTAGGTTTGCAGGCAAGACTGTAGATTGATATAAACTGTAGTGAGCAGGCAGATTCTACCATGTCAAAAACTGTTTTTCAGGCTGTTGAGAGCAAACTTTAAAATGGGAACACTTAATTTTTATCCAAACTTGTTGATGGTAGAGTAAGAACAAAACAGATACGAAATTTTATTATTAGGAGACACCGGATAATCTGTAGTTGTGTCAATGTATGAAGTTAATAGACTGATATAGAACCTTCTGCTTTAGATGCTTCTAAAGCAAAGGAGGTTGGACCTGCTAATTGTTTGCTGCTAATGTATACCTTGGCACTGCATTCTGTACCAAGCACAAGTCTGTCACCCTTTAAAAAGTTTTACTATCTTATGGGCTGATTTTAATCAGCATAAATGATTACTAATCAGTTTAGTTAGATTTGTTCTGTATGCACTATGACTGCAAAATCTGTACATAGTAGAAGACAAGTTTACAGTAAAACAGTGCATATTTATAAGGTTGGATAGAAATAATTTGCACACTCTGTATTCTTGGAATTTCTATTAATTGCCCATAATTGTGATCTCTCTGGTTCTTGACTGGAGTTAGAAATCCATTTGAAAAAAAAGGCAAAAAAAAAAAAAAAAAAAAAGCACAGATTAGCTGCAAGCAAACTTTTTGTCTCCACACAGTTACTTGATCCTGTAAACCTCCTCAACCTCTTCAATGTGTTCTCTCCCATTTCAGCCAGGCTGGGATTTTATTGTGCAACTACCTGAAAAATTCTTTCCAAAAAATATACTATATTGTGGAAAGAAAAGAATTGTAAAATTTATCCATTTTAAGAAAAACTTGAGAGGCCTGGTGGTAAAGTAATTCCTCCAGCTCTACAAAATGTACAACCGAGGGGATATAAAATAGGGAGATATGAATAATATTACCTAGAAAGAGCATTTTCTCTTCTTCCAACATCCCAGTCCAAAACTGGGAGTGTCTGTTTACATCCATCCATCGGAAAGACCACTGGTCACAATGATTGTTCTATGTAGTTGTTCCAGCTGGCTTGTTTTGTGAGGGGTATCTCTATCCTTGTCCCAGTTATAGCTGCTTTTAAAGTTTGGTTCAGGTGGCTTGCTATGAACTAGAAATATGCCCTTCAGAAAGTATTTCTAGAAACTCTTACTAGAATAATTCTTAAATATGCAAAAGCCTTTCTGGAAATGGGTTGAGCAAAGTTCATGCAAAGCTCTGCAAATGTCTGTCCTCCTTGTGTGGAATTACTCCAGTTTTGAACTGTTCTGTTTCAGAG